TGCATGTATCTGTCAGCTGGTAATTATTGACACCTAAACCAATATAACAGGAAGCCATCAGCATCTAGCGTTATCTTATAGAACTTACAACAATTCCATTCAGATCTACAAAGCTTATCAGGTGTACTACTAATCCATATGGATATTATAACCATGAATCATGACTAGAACAATTCAAGAATTGCATCTAATCCCCAGGTAGAAATACTGTTAGCTCATTGTAACCACCCTGAATTAATCCATACAGCTCTCAGGCTTCTGTAATGGCACCAAGCTTTGATCCAGAGGAGATTATAATTATTGATAAGTGGGGAAAATGGTTATGATTAACTGTAGTAATGCAGGGTGGCCGTGCTATAGTGGTTTATTTATACTGGGTCCAGGCTACTGACATCTGGTCAGTATTGCTGGTAGATAGTTTCAACACCTCTTGCATCTTCTACTGTTGATGCTTCTTAAAGAAACATTAATACATCAGCTATAGAAAATCAATTGAGTATGGCGCTATTTCACCACAACACAATTCTTTTGGTGGAAGCATTCCTAAACATGAAGTGTGTAGCCTACATGCTGTGATTTACCTACAGACGTTCAGATCTAGATCTAGAGACCAGTATTGCCATCATCTCCTTTGAATTTAGGGTTACTTTGTAGTAAAGCACACATTAAGAGTGGACAAGGCTTTTGTTTTTAAGTATGCATTTCAGGCAGAAGGTGTTTATTGTATATGACTTGAGTTACATTTTAAAAGATAAAATAATCTGTCTATGATCATGACAATACAAAAGTTTTCATTTGTGTTGCTCCTGAATTCTCATATATGATCTAGTAATTATAATTTACTATTTAATCTTTGAGGATTTGCTTCAATAGGAGGTGTGTACTGAAAGTGAAAGTAAATTGAGAAAAAATGGTTTTCTACAGTAAATGTCAGATCTGTTAATCTTCTTACTGTATCATTGTATCACCATCTTATGAAAACATTCAACAGCTGCATGCCCTAGTCTATAATATCTAACCTCTACAAAGTAAATATTACCAGTTAGTATTGGGTCATAACAGGTGATATTACAACCGAGTAGATACTTAAGAGTTGCATGGTTATGAAGACAGGATGACAAAGCCACACATATGTACGCCAACTGTAGCATCGTTGCATTGAACTCCTTGTATATATACATGTACAGTGTCAAACACGTCAGCTGTCACAGCACATAGCTACTGCACTCCTCCAGATCTAATTACCAAAAAAGATGGCAACGTTCTATCCATGTAAGACACAAGGTATCGCGTTCACTTCAATTTCCCGAGATTATAGAGAAAATGAATAATTAACTTAGTTTAAATTTTAACTTCTCACAAGCTGCTCCCACATCTATGTCTTCACAACCATATGGCATCAATTTCAATTTCACATTAGATTATAGAGAAAATCAATATTGATATCTTCAAGTGTAAAAGTTTAAATCATCAAAAACTGCTCACATCAAAAAACTTTCAGACTAGTTCAATAAATATCATTTGAAAAACAAATCTCTAAATCATCAGATGCATAAAATATATTAATTAAGTGCAACAACTGAAACAATTGATACAAAGGAAAATAGCACGTTGATAAAACCACTTTAAATACGTCTCCTTCAAATTTAAGGTACAGCGATTAACCAATGCAACAGCTAGGGGAAATGAGTTTTCTGGTAAGATAAGTTGTACCGGCCCTGTGTACTGCTGGAAGGATGTTTTTTTCCCCCATTGTGATCAATGTTTCATTGTGATCTCATCTCGATATAGCTGTAAACTCAATTTACACCGATTGCTTTCAGTGTTATTCCCAGTCCCATTCAGACATTAACTCCTATCTCCAGAACACAACACCCCTAATTTGATTATCCTCCTCCTGTTATATCATAGTCAATCCCCAATCTCTGAGTTCGGAGGAGCCACACCCAACACTGTATGGTATATATATACATGTATATAAGGCACTCGAACAAAAGGCTAATGCTTAATGGTCTTGATTGTACAAAATTGAAAACAGCAGGATTTGTCCTGGGAAACAATTAATGATTGCTATTTTTTTCTGTTCTCATACTTGATATTTGTATCAACTTTGATGAAAATCTGTTAAGAAATGAAGTAGCTAGAGTGAGAACAGTGATTCAGTTGATGATTTTCTGTGCATGTGTAAAGCGACAATGACCTTGGCCTTGACCTTGGAGCCCTAAAACACAGAGATGCCCAAGGTGTTATCATACCAGACCTTTGTATAAACTTTGATCAAAAACCATCATAAAGAAAGTTGGTTAACTTATCACACTGAATTGGTTGATAATTTTCTATAAATAGTAGTGATGACCTTGGCCTTGACCTTGGAATCCTGAAACGTTAACTCCTCCAAGGTATTCTCTCATTTTATATCTGTATAAACTTTGATGAAAATCTCCTAAGAAACGAAGTTACAACGAATCAGTTGATGATTTTCAAGATATACAGCAACAATGACCTTGGCCTTGACCTTAGAACCCTTAACACAAAGATGTCAGAGACATTCTTATACTCGACCTTTGTATAAGGTTTGATCAAAATCCGTCAAAGAATGAAGTTGCTAGAGTATTTACATTTATTTGCGATCTGTTGGGATGGGACCAGACATATTTTATGGTTGGGTTATAATAGTATTTAGGTTTAAAACTGTTATATAAATAATTTAAGTGTAGTTTATAGAAACAATTTGAGTGCTGTACAGTTATAGAATCAGCTGGTGCATGCGGAGTAGAATAATTGAAACAATAATTGTGGTAGTAAATACCACCATATGTTAGCAGCTCTACAAGGGTCTATCTACTCTCCTGTGTGTGACAAGTGTGTCTCCTGTACACAAGGATCTATCTACCCTCTTGTGGGCGACACTTGTGTCTCCTGTACATATAAAGGACCTATCTACCCTCCTGTGGGTGACACTTAAGCTTGTGTCTCTTGTACATAGGGACCTATTTACCCTCCTGTGTGTGACACTTGTGTCTCTTGTACATAGGGACCTATCTACCCTCCTGTGGGTGACACTTGTTTCTATTGTTCATAAGGACCTATCTACCCTCCTGTGGGTGACGCTTGTGTCTATTGTACATAAGGACCTATCTTCCCTCCTGTGGGTGACACTTGTGTCTATTGTACACAAGGATCTATCTACCCTCCTGTGTGTGACACTTGTGTCTCTTGTACATAAGGACCTATTTACCCTCCTGTACAAGGGTCTATCTACTCTCCTGTGTGTGACAAGTGTGTCTCCTGTACACAAGGATCTATCCAACCTCCTGTGGGTGACACTTGTGTCTCCTGTAGACAAGGATCTATCCACCCTCCTGTGGGTGACACTTTTGTCTCCTGTACACAAGGATCTATCCACCCTCCTGTGGGTGACACTTTTGTCTCCTGTACACAAGGATCTATCCACCCTCCTGTGGGTGACGCTTGTGTCTCCTGTACACAAGGATCTATCCATCCTCCTGTGGGTGACACTTGTGTCTCCTGTAGACAAGGATCTATCCACCCTCCTGTGGGTGACACTTGTGTCTCCTGTACACAAGGATCTATCTACCCTCCTGTGTGCGACACTTGTGTCTCCTGTACCCAAGGATCTATCTACCCTCCTGTGTGTGACACTTGTGTCTATTGTACATAGGGACCTATTTACCCTCCTGCGGGTGTCAACGTACATACAGACCTATTTACCCTCCTGTGGGCGACAATGTACATACAGACCTATTTACCCTCCTGTGGGGGACAATGGACATACATACCTATTTACCCTCCTGTGGGTGACACTTGTGTCTCCTGTAGACAAGGATCTATCCACCCTCCTGTGGGTGACGCTTGTGTCTCCTGTACACAAGGATCTATCTACCCTCCTGTGGGTGACACTTGTGTCTATTGTACACAAGGATCTATCTACCCTCCTGTGTGTGACACTTGTGTCTATTGTACATAGGGACCTATTTACCCTCCTGCGGGTGTCAACGTACATACAGACCTATTTACCCTCCTGTGGGGGACAATGTACATACAGACCTATTTACCCTCCTGTGGGTGACACTTGTGTCCTCTCTACATGTACTGGCAGGTATGTGCATACAGTGGTGTTCCCTTCATTATAAAGAAAAATCTACGCATAGCACAAATATATCAAATATTAAATATTTCCTAAAGAATTTGCTTGTTAAGGCTGTTGTCGCAGAAAGAAAAAATATATATATTAAAATGGTTATACCCAGGATGAGCTATATCACATGACAGAAGTGGAAACATCTCAAAATAATCCTTAAACTTGTCGAGTGTGTTTGAGCAGAATAACAGTTTGATGTATTTTGAATATCTTTCTCATCAATAAGCATGCTCCTCGACTCACGGGAATACACAAAAGCCAAGAAAGGTGAATTGATATCTAATGTTCTGGCTACAAGGATATTTACATTAGGTGTTGATAACAAACCTTGATGCCATTCTAAGCTAGTCAAATTTGTATCTAGCGTCAGCACAGAATCTTATGTAACCAATGAGGCTGACTTTTCAGTAATTTCTATTTGAATGGACAAAATGACTTTTAAACCGACCAACCTTGGTAAAATTACATAACAGATATATGTAAGAATAAGGTGATTTGAACAGGCCAAAATGGGAAAGAACTGGGCATTTTGGCCTGCTGCGTGTTCTTAATGAAAACCCTGTAAGGCAAAAGTGTAATTTCATGATTATAGGGATAGAAATTTATAATAGAATCTTTCCAAAATTAGTTATCTTGAAACTAAATATCACATGCAGTACAAACAAGAAGTAATCACGAAAATTGATCCCATTCCACAGACCCAGATTTTCTGTAAATGTATTCCTTTGTAGAATGTAGGTAACAGTAAATAAAAAGAACTCTTCAGGGGACACTGAATTGAAAGACCACCTCTGGTTTTACAAAGATTAATTTGTAAACTTAAAGGTTTTTAACTTACCTTGAGTAGGAAATCTTTAAATCCAATACACAAATGTGAATATGATATTTGAATCCTTCAGTAATGTATGGTAAGAAGTATCACTGATGTCACCCACAGAGAAATGTATAATTCCTCATCCGATATGGACTACTGTCACAACGATTCATGTAGGTAGTGACTGGATGGGCAGCTGTACAAGTGAATACTCCTGTCAAACCTGCAACAACAGCAGAGAAAACAACTTATTTCACAATAGAATTACGCAACAACATCTATAATAATACAACTAATGGTGAATGGCTTGGTAAAAGGGAGTCTGTCTTACAGACAGTGCACTACGGAGCTGAGCTTGTGTGTAAAGCGAACCAAAACACCAAAATAGGGCAATAATAGTGACTATATATAAATGTACGCACACATCTCCTCACAGTCGCACAGCTAGTGGTGGCACATTCTTACAATGACTTTTTAAGAAATCCTGTTCAGATTTACCCATTCATGAAAATTTCCTATCACTTTTTTACGTAAGCTATGTATAAATCACAGTGTGGTAGTGTTTTAAGTGCTATATGTATTTTGTTTTACCTGATGATGATCACAGATCTCAAATATATCAAACGTTATAATATCCAGCGGATTACTCCATACATGTACCTGTAGTCACTGTAGAAATAATCCGGGCTAGAGCCGATATACCACAACCCACTACCTACATAATTACCTGCTTTGTATTGTGTAGCCTCATGACAAAAATACCAGCACATGTAATTTCAAGCCATGTACATGTATCAATACACAGTGTATTGATATTTGAAGGTGATAGCCAGTCCATCGATAGCCATTCTCACTATGGTGCCGTCCACAGTACTACACAAAACACCAGCAAATAATCAATACCAGCCAATCTTGAATGACTTGATGATGATCACAGCGATAAGCTAAGGATGATATTCCACCAACACTGAAGCCGTGCAGACCTCTGTACAGTATATACTTACTATACATACATGGTGCTTCCTCCTGCTAAACTTACCTAGCCAATACACCGGTCTACTGTCACCACTGCTACACACCAAATGTGGTAGTGCTCATAAAATATATAGCCAATCTCATATTGATTTTTTATTACTCCATATGTACATGGGCAAAAACACAGAGGTTGGCTTTGTACAGGAAATAGGGCAGAGGAAAATAATAACACAATATGTCACATCAACCTAACAATGCATATGTTGTTGATATTGTTTACTACAGCATATCTGCACTACAGAGCACAAAACTGGAGCATGAATTCTTAAATTTATGAACTGTGGTGAACAATGAACGTCTTGTGCATTTAAGCCTGGAACTACTTCCTACCCAGGTTTATTCAGTGATCATTTGTATTTGTGAACTCAGCCGTTATAAACGATTACAGTAATACTGTGTACTAGAAACTTGCACTGAACCCCTTTAAAAACATGTTCTTATACAATATCTTTCTTTGTGCCATCCTGGAGGTTTATTTTGAGGCTGACGTAATGAAATTTAATACCCGCTGCACCTGAATAGTGAAAAGTAGGAACTTAATACACCTTTTGTAAACTATTTACCTATTTAACATTGTATTCAGAATTTAAAGTCTTTAAACATGCACATTTTTGTATTACATGTCAGATTGACAATCCTCATCAAAAACAGTGGATATTGTGTTGATACCTACCCCAAAGAAAAGGGATGACCATCATGTGGTCACTGTATGTCTGTGGTCACTCTACAGGTGTGGTCAGTGGTCAGTCACTCTACAGGTGTTGTCAGTGGTCAGTCAATCTACAGGTGTGGTCAGTGGTCAATGACTATACATGTGTTGTCAGTGGTCAGTCACTCTACAGGTGTGGTCAGTGGTCAGTGACTATACAGGTGTTGTCAGTGGTCAGTGACTCAACAGGTGTGGTCAGTGGTCAGGGACAATACAGGTGTTGTCAGTTGTTAGTAACTTAACAGGTGTTGTCAGTGGTCAGTCACTCTACAGGTGTGGTCAGTGGTCATTGACTATACATGTGTTGTCAGTGGTCAGTGACTCAACAGGTGTGGTCAGTGGTCAATGACTATACAGGTGTTGTCAGTGGTCAGTCACTCTACAGGTGTGGCCAGTGGTCAGTGACTATACATATGTTGTCAGTGGTCAGTGACTCTACAGGTGTGGTCAGTGGTCAGTCACTCTACATGTGTTGTCTGTGGTCAGTCACTCTACATGTGTTGTCAGTGGTCAGTCACTCTACAGGTGTTGTCAGTGGTCAGTCACTACACAGGTGTTGTCTGTGGTCAGTCACTCTACAGGTGTGGTCAGTGGTCAGTGACTATACATATGTTGTCAGTGGTCAGTGACTCTACAGGTGTGGTCAGTGGTCAGTGACTATACAGGTGTTGTCAGTTGTTAGTGACTTAACAGGTGTTGTCAGTGGTCAGTCATTATACAGGTGTTGTCAGTGGTCAGTCACTATACAGGTGTTGTCAGTGGTCAGTCACTCTACATGTGTTGTCAGTGGTCAGTCACTCTACAGGTGTTGTCAGTGGTCAGTCACTACACAGGTGTTGTCTGTGGTCAGTCACTCTACAGGTGTGGTCAGTGGTCAGTCACTCTACAGGTGTGGTCAGTGGTCAGTCACTCTTTAGAAGTTGTCAGTGGTCAGTCACTCTACATATGTTGTCCGTGGTCAGTCACTCTACAGGTGTTGTCAGTGGTCAGTCACTGTACAGGTGTTGTCTGTGGTCAGTCACTTTACAGGTGTTGTCAGTGGTCAGTCACTCTGCAGGTGTTGTGTGTGGTCAGTCACTTTACAGGTGTTGTCAGTGGTCAGTCACTCTACAGGTGTTGTCAGTGGTCAGTCACTCTACAGGTGTTGTCTGTGGTCAGTCACTATACAGGTGTTGTCTGTGGTCAGTCACTTAACAGGTGTTGTCAGTGGTCAGTCACTTTATAGGTGTTGTCTGTGGTCAGTCACTTTACAGATGTTGTCTGTGGTCAGTCACTCTACAGGTGTGGTCAGTGGTCAGTGACTCAACAGTTGTAATCAATAATTATAACATCACTGTACAGATGTTTTCAGCTACAAGTAGTCATGATGTAGGACAGATCTAGATAACAACAGCCTAGTTATTAGAGCTCCCATTGTTCTTGGGCACACCTTATGTTTTGACTGATTTCTCCAGAATAAACACAAGGTGATGATGAGTTGTGATAGCAACAGGAATTTTTAGGGTACTTATGTGCCAATAGTTAACACATTTGTATACCCAAGATAACCCCACTCAAGTGATCCAGGATTGAAAAGGAAGGAGAGAAAGGTATAGCGGCCTCTTCATTACATGTGGCCTTTGAATAGTCTATGTTTAATTGGTTTACCAGAGCAGTGGGATTGTGTTTTCCGAGCATCAAATTAGTAGCATCAAACTTTTTTGCATGTAATTTGCTTAAAACTATTTTTGTAACTCAGAGTCGTCTTGAAACACTGTCAGTAATATTCTATGTACGCCTACTCATGCATTATCAAATCTCCTGACAAAACTTCCAAGACTTCTCCGTGAAGAAAACACACTACATCTGCAGCTTAATCCTATTCTAAAAGTTTGTATAAAGTAAGAGATATTAAGGCCAAGACAAGAAGCAATGGGATATCTTTAAGCATTGAATTGATTTAAGTTGGCATTCATATTGACTATGATTGCCAACTCAAAGCAGTTCAATATAAATTTATTTAACATTTTTGAGAGAAAAAAATATTGATAAGGACAAATGAAAATTAATTTATTAAAATTTAGAATCAATTTAAAGTAAATATTTTTTTAAAGTGTATATATACATACTTGTTCAATAATCAAGCTGAAGTAGAACAGACAACTTTTGAAGTGTCAGTGATATCCAGTGTTAACCTATGTTTTAATAACGACAACAATAATTCATCTAATATATATGTATGCCCTCTGACTTGGTTAGGGTTATATACTAGCATTGCCATAGAATGGAAATTATATAATTCAGTATCAAACGTAAGATTGATAGAAATCATCTAGTACCACTCTGACCCTTCAGGCATAATGTTCTGGCCCCAAAAACTCCATTGTAACAAAATTACATGTAACAGTATGCTTGCCACATACCAAAAGGATGAAAACTAACCATACACTGTATGACCCAATATCATCCAACATTTTACAATCATAATATCAGTGATGCAGTATTGTATTAATAATTTTCTACCAGGAAATGAAAATGACATCAGGAAAAATTATCAGCATAAAATTTTGCTGTTTCCCATAAAGAGGTAAAAGGGTAAAATATTTTTTTATGTCGGTATCACTAGTATCTTCCCATGACAGCGGGTACAGGCTGAATTCTACAGCCTCCAGCTTCATGAATCTTTTGTAGATAATTTGATTATGATATAAAGAGAGAAAGTTCCGACATTTGTCCAATAACCTATCAAACCCAATAAAGATTTATCAAAATGTTGCCTCCAGGGAGAAGACCAATTCACTTATAAACATTGGAAGACCAAATAAAATTTGTCAAGGAGAAAAAAACAACCCACTGCAACCTCAAGGATATAAACATAAAAAGTTTTCTAAACCAAGATGAAAATCTCATGCAGAGAAATCATACAGAACTTGTTTACCAATATATTATCAGCTATCTTCTGGGAACATGCATATCTTTGCACTAGTTTAGTGATACAAGGTTATCTTAAAGAACAAGAGGCCCAGAGGGCCTGCATTGCTCTCCTACATATATATTCCAGCAATCACGGCAAACTATTTTATTATCAGTAATATTGTACATATCTCTATTTGGGCTCTTTTTCTCAGCACTTCAGGCGACAACACCCTTTCTTCATATCTAATATTGCTTCGTAACGAACTTGGCTTAAATATTATCAACTGTTCAGCAGACTTAAAGACTTAACCACTCAAATTAACTATTATTTGTGGGCCTCAGACCAGATGAGCTAAAAATCACATTTAGTTATCCGGAGAGAAAAAATAGCTAAAAAGTGAAAAAAAACAAAACATTACAGATATATCCCTCACTGTTTGAATAAATGCAAATGTATAGCAAAGAGGAATTTATCCCACTGATGCATGTTTCTGTGTCAAGGTTACTAGGTAATCATGTCCATACAATATGCTTGTTACAGTGGTGTTTTACCATGTGGTAGAACTACATGCCCCACTGTGAGAATGTCTGTACACAGATTACATACAGAGTTGACTAAGCCAAGGCTCACTCAATAACTTGGCATACAATCAGCAGTTACTGCACCAACACTCTTCTACACTGTCCCTGGTGGCAACAAGTACAAAGAAACTTTACATGCATATTTGATACTTAAGATATTCCACAAATAGCAAGCCAGAGGAGAATGACTTGGTTAAACAGTATTTTCGCTAGAAGAGACTTGCTTTTTGCACAAACTAATCAAAAGAGAAATCCGTTCGATATCTGCATCCATGATCGTTTGAAAAATGTTGATGTTTTCATGATCAGTTGATGATTCATGTCTTAAAAGAATTAAATTGTGTCAAATACATATGGTTCATAGAAAAGAACTCCGTTATAATGTGTCAAGAATTTGTTTCAGGGTTTCCTGTTTCTTAAGTTGAAGGGCTAGCATGCAATTCCAAGGGGCATTAATTAGTGGGATTTGGTGACTGTACTTATGTACATCATGTAGATGCTTACTCATGATCAGGTAATGGTATTATCATACAACAGTATACATACAAATACTATTTGTACATTAAAAATACTGTACCGCTAGCTAACTTTCACTCTTTTTTCGTACTAACAGGATAAATCTGGCATTTCTTATTTTTCTTACATAGCAAAAATTATTAACGTGTCAAAATATAAAATGAAAAGGTATTTTAATTTTATTTTCTTATGTGCCGTAAACTAATTTGATATTCAACATAATGTTATCATGCGCGGACACATGT